CGTTATAAATGAAAGAAAGAGAGAAAGAAGCAGAAAAGCATTTTATTCCCTCAAGATTAAAAAAAAAAATTTCTCTTCACATTATTTACATATTTTAAAATCGAATATATTTTTTAAATAAATTTTACGTTGAAAACTTTTCTAAAAAAAAAAAAAAGAATTTCTTCACAAAATTCAGATTTTAAAAAACAAAAAAAAAAATTTTAAGAATTTTTTATACATTCTTCAACATGAATTCTTCTCTGACATCTTTGAGAAAATTTTCTGGAATTTGCAGTGCTGCAATCTGATATATAAGTGTGATGAAAATCTGATAAGGGGGGGAAAGAGTAAAAAAAAAAGATAAGATTCATTTTATCGATTAAGGTCCCAAATGGGGAAGGTGAACATTTTTGTATGAAACAGAGCTCGCTTGACTTGTGAGTAATACACGTTATCCTAATGAGGGTGCCTTCATTAGAGCCTTCATTGCGACAGCTTGTCTGCCTCTCACCTCACAAAACGAGAGGGATTAATTTTTAATATCGTTTCTGCTCCTTCTGCAAAGCAACGTCTTTCCACAACTCACTCTCCCTAACATTTGTACCCAATTTCCCTTCCTTCTTCTTTTTCCACCCAATAATATGCAGTCGCATCCATGCCACGTTAGAGAGTAAAATTAATTTTTTCTCTCCTCGTGTCTTTCTGCTTTATTCACGCGGGCAAAAAAAAAAATTCATTATCATATTGAAATACGCCTGGTCTTAACGTCGCGAAAGAAACTTACAATACCGAGCATGATAAACTCTCCAGAGAGTCATTTTATAATGGAGAGAAAATTAATTTGTCGAGAATTACTCACAAGTTCCGATAAACCGCGGACATAAGAAATAATGAATATAAAACGAGAAAAGAAAAAATTACCATAAGAACGGTATAAATGGTACCTAACAGTAAAAAAAAATACTGTAAATTTTTATCTAAAATATTTCTAAAAAAGACCTATTAATAACAAATCCTAAATATGAAAAATTAACCCCAAAGAAACATCTTAGGAAAAAAAAGGGCTTAACGAAGCAAAAAAGAATCAATTCAGAGCGAATATTTAACAATTTTTCTCATAGGAGTACTTCTAAAGAATTTCAATACAAAAGACAAAGTGGTTTCTAATAAAATATTTGAATAGCAGTTTGCTTTTGAGAAACCATTTCCCCCAAGAGAAGACGAGATATTAAAAGAATGTTTTTAAAAATTCAATTTAAATTTAACATTCTGATTAGTGGGGAAAAAAAAAGAATTTCATATTCTTTGTTTGGGATAAAATCCAATAACACTCGCATTTTATCCCAGACATTCACATTTATTTATACTATATTTATACTGAAAATTTGCATATATCAAGAAAATGTTTTCAGGTGCTACGATTTTGAAGTTTATGAGAACTTTCCACTCAAATTATGATGCTGTAATAATACACTGAGGACATGTGCACATATACCTGCATATAGTAGATTCATATATACGTATTTTACACTCCTAACTACATGATGCATTAAAGCAGATTAATGTTATGCATTTATTATAAATGAGGTTTACTCCCCGAAGATGGATTACGCCTTGGTTGTAGTTCTGTTTAATAATGCCGCGTTTGCTGTTTCACCAGGTAAAAGAGGCTTCTCGATGTTAATCAGTTTAATAAATCACTGTTTATCAAAAGTGACTTGATTTATCTTTATAAAATGAGACTGAGATGAAGATTCACGTGCAGAATTTTTAATTTAGCATTTCGAAAAAATTGAAAATCCAATTTTTTTTTTAAATAATTATTAATGATGCCAAAAAATAGTAACAGAAAAACCTACCCAAATTCTAATATAGAACATAGTAAAAAGAAAATCCTATCATTGAGCCTGTCCTAAAGAATATTTTTCAAATTTTTTTTTTTCTAATAAAAATAAATTTTTAATGTTTTATAGAAAAATAATTGAATGTAATTATTTTTAAAAAAAAATCTCTAACCTTGCAACTCATGTATCACAAATTTTTGGATGAGATTTTCTGGAAACACAAAAAATTTCGAACACTCCCGAAAAAAAATACTTATGAAGATTTAAGCGATCGCGATTTTAAGAATTTCGAACACTCCCGACACTGTGTGTAAATTAAGAAACAAAATACTTTTTTACAGATATTTAAACGATCGCAATTTTATAGGAATTTCAAACACTCCCGGAACAAAAACATTTACTAAAACAGCAAAAAAAAAAAAATTATTACAGCTTGGACTGCACAGATAAAGATAAGAAAATTCCAAAATTTTTTCCAACACTCCCGAAATCACATTTAAATTAAAAAACAAGATACTTTTTTTCTAAAAATTTAAACGATCGCGATTTAAAGAATTTCGAACACTCCGGGAATAATAAAGGGTACTAAAATAAGAAAAGTATAACTTTGTAAAATTTATTTGACTTGACAGTTCAATACGCAAATTGCAACTGATTGAATTAATTATTATTGGGATTTTAAGACGCACCCTTTGTACTTCAATGTAAACAATTAGAGCCCCGGCTACGTAGGTATAAAGGTAATAAAATTCCAAAATCGCTTCAAGTTCAAATACTTCGAAATAATAATTAAATATTATTTATATAAATTTAAAGATGTTTTCAAATTATTTGAAGCTGATTATATTTTAGACAATTTTTCTATTTTTCGAATTAGCCTTTAACCTAATTTCTATTTAAACGAATTTTTACTTAACCAAAATTTTTTGGTACCGGATTTTTTGCAGAATTTTTATCTCACAGAATTTCTTTCTTAATTTTTTATTCCAAAAAATTCTAATTTAGGCGAATATTAATTTAGCATAATTCTCTTTCTAGAGAATTTTAAGTGATACAAATTTTTAAATTCTTAAAACACTGAATCTTCATTTGTCCGAAATGGCATAATGGCCGAAAATATAAACACAAAGATTTTGGCACGATTTTTAAAATTGTCCAATTTTTAAGAAAATTGTGGTTAAAAACAGCGTTTTTTCTATCAAATAACAACTAGTATAAATAAAAATTTGAACAAATGAATTGAAAATTCTAGAATTGAAAAATTCGAAGTATTTAAAATTTGTTTAATAAGAATTCTGATAAATTAAAATTCGGTTTAGAATTCTTTTATGCATTTTTGACTCTAAACGGTAGTATAAGTCGTGTAACGGTGTTTATCGTTAATAAGGAAAATAGATTTAAAAAAAAAAAACAAAGAACCTATGACAAATATGAAGGTCAGAGAAGAGTTTATGATTTTGTGGATAACGAGGGGTGAAATGTTATCACGAGAAGCCGTATAGAAGAGATGGGGGGTAAAGGGTGTATAGAATATATATGCTGACAAGCAAGACCCATGGTGCAAGTATATCACGAGGTTGTAGTTATGTTTCATCGCGGTTGGGGCAACGCGCGGATATACAGCGTTACTGGCCGACGGATGTTGCTGCAGGCCTCACCGACAACGGGGAGAGAGTTTGATATTAATTGCCTTCCGATCTACATCCCCTCGATACATATACACACACTGTGAATTCTCTCTCACACCCCACGGTTGCTAATCGGCGCAAACCGAATCCACGAAAATTAAAGGATCAGCCCAGATTACGCGAGAAGCATCACCATCGCGTCGTTGCCACTCGCTCTCTCCCTCTCTCTCTCCTCGAATCCAACCAAACGTTTAATTTCAACATTTTCAAATACACATATACTGAAATTCCATACCGAATATATGTGATGACTCGAGCGTCAGGTGTGCTTGTTGCATTTCAAGTTTTTTTTTTTTTTTTTTATATAAATCCTCCCTCGAATTTTCAATTTTCTCTCATTATGTGAATTTTATTAATGCTTTCTTCTGTTTCTGATTTTATTTGTTATGTTATATATTTTATTCATTTTAATTTTTATACATAGCTCAGACTCGTTTGTCGCTGAAACTGTTTTCCAATATCTAAAGTTAATGTTAAACTGAAAAAAAAATTCTGGTTGCAATAAACAGAATTCTGGTTAAACTCAGCCTTTTGAAGAATTTATGTAATTTTATTTACGCGCTGATAAATAATGTTAAATACAACCTAACCAAAATTTTTTTTTCACTGCAGAAAATAATTTCCAAAATTCAAAAGATTTTCTATCAAATAGCTAATAATACAAAAATATTATTAATAAATCTTTTAAAATCAATTTAAAAAATTAAACTAAAATTTCAAAATTATATTTCATTTAATTATATATACCATAAAAGTTCGATTAGATTGTACCGTAGGTGGAAAGTAAAGGGGGAGGGGGGCAAAGAACGTATATAATATATAGTATATATACAGGATAACCACGAGTATAATGGGTCCTTTAGCGAATGTATGCGTACCAATATGCTTCCCGCAGAATTTTCCGATAATTAAGTGTCGTTTCGGAAAATTATTTGACGTCGCTTGGGAAAATAATTTAGTGTCGGAAGGCAAGTGGAAAGGTGAGGAAATGATTAGAAGCAAGAGATAATCTTATTAGCTGTTCGACAGTCTCCTTAAATCTCCTTTTCCATCCTCTAATATATATATATATATATATATATATATATATATATATATATGAATCCTAAATCCAAAGTTGAACCTTCGACATCTATACTAAACCTTTTGTTATACATTTCGTACAGTGAATTCAAATCTAATTTCTCTTTCTATATAACCACACCAAGTTCATTCCAATTATAATATTATTTCAAATAACACTAATGCAGAAAGAAACATATTCCTATTTGTCCAATTAATTTTAAAATACATTAATTATAAAATAAAAATAGAAATAAGAAAAATTTTTCCAAAAATTCTCATTTCGTTATCTTAAAAATTAGAATTAATTATCCAATTAAGATAATTTTTTCAGCATCTTTTTTTAAGATTGAAAAATAAGTGACTATTTTTTCATTAAACAAACAAGAAACCAAACATGCAAAAAGAAGAAAAGATGAATTACCTTATAGATGCCGTCGACGAGTCTTGTGAGCTCCTCGGTCTCCATCTTTGTCTCTCCCTTAAGTAGCTGAAGACACGTGCCCAACGATTTCACGAGATGCTCATATTTTTCCTTCCTCCCGAGACACGGTTTCACGCACTCGCTCCACTTTCCTGCAAAATGCCACCGAGTGTAAAGTCAGAAATTGCCTCCGGTGCCACTGTTTCCCTCGCGTGCCCTTTTCTCTTTCTATAAAGAACACACTGCAACAAAAAAAAAAAAAAGACAAATGCCTACTGTTAGTTGTCACATTATTTTTTATAATTTATATCTTCAATTTAATTAACTTCATCAAAAAATTCTTAATATAAATCAAAATTGTCATACAATTTTTCAACAGAAATTAATAAATCTTTTTCTGTGATTTTTAAATTTGAATTTAAAGTTAATTGAGAAAATTTAAAGTATACCAAAGATATCGAAAGGTGAAAAGTAGTTCCCTCATTGTATATTTAACCAGAAAGATATATATATATTCTTATCAGTAAATGTAAATCTGCTAAAAGCTGGGAGAATCAACAGAAATCGATTCCCATGTTTTAAAAAAACGCTTATATTCTAATTATCCGTTTAATTTTCTCAAAGGGTGTGGTTTATGGAAGATTTTTTTTAAAAAGATCGGACAATTCAGACATAATCATTTGGCATTGATAAAAACGAGATATATCTCGATGTAGAGAGAAACACCTCCACCTGTTTAACGATTCAAGTGATATAAATCTCAATTTCTTAACTCCACACCTTGAATTGACTCTTGGAGTCCAAGGGGGAGAATTTAAACTCTAAGTAATGCGCGCGCGCACGCTTGTTTTTACACAAACACATATACTTTCATTCCACAAGGACATCCAGTAATCGCTAAGTTATATATCGAGTCTCAAAAGATTCTTTAAAGGGAGAGAGCAAACTTGGGGGGAAGAAAAAGGCGCATAACTTACGCGATCACGTTTTATATGCCTTTAATAGTCGACTTAGACTATATTGCGAACATAAAAGAGACCTATTGGTGTACTTGAACGATCAACGCGATGAGATTATTCGATGCTATCGAGAGTCCCCCCCCCCACTCGTGCAACTAATTCAACTATAAAACCGCTTTTGAGAGTAGTTTGAAATCGAGAAATCGTGAAAGCACATAAGAACTTGTCGATGTACTGTTGTATTTCCTTGTTTGTTTGTACATACTACCACAACATGAATCCCACTTCTAATTATAAGGAAAGTAAACCAAGGACGGTAAACGATATATATATACAATTTTTTTGCGTCGACCTTCAACTACACCTTCACTTATAGAAAAATTCTTCACTTTTTAAGGAAACACTTTACTTTAATAGAAATACAAGTATTTCTTCTCTTTTTCATATGTATGAATCAAAACAAATTTTCAATTTGATTTCTACATTTTGAATGTATATGGGGCATTTCACGGGAGATTTTCATTGAAAATTTTTTTTTCCCCGAAACATTTTTTTCGAAATCTATATGAAAAATAAGGATATACGTATTTTTTTATTTTTTTTATTTGATAAAAATGAAGGAAGTTATGATTTTTTGAAATTTAACGTCAACGATGGAAGTGGGGAGGGACAGGAGTTTTTGGGACATTTTTTAATCTATTGTACTAATAAATTAAAAATTATGCTATATATGAAATTTGTTTATTTTTTCTTAAATTTTTCAAATATCTGCTCAAAAATAACGTACCTATAAGAGAAGTAACAAAAAAGTTGAAATTAAACTCAAAAAGTGAGTTTTCTCAAAAGAGACACTTTCGATTTTTAATTTTTTTTTTTGCATTTCAAACTCTGGTGACTGAAGAATTTTTTCCCTTATCTGCGAAAGTGGTACTTTTAGTTTTTAAGTTACTATTTACAATTTTCTTAGTACGGCTCACAGAATTTAAGCAGTTATTTTACAAATATAACCTTTTTCCATTATTATTAATTTGTTTTTTTTTTAATTTTCATAAAAACATACTAAAAATCGTTGCGTCAAACTTAAAAATTGTAAATAGTAACTTAAAAACTAAAAGTATCACTTTCGCAGATAGGAGAAAAAATTCTTTAGTCACCAGAGATTGTAATGCAAAAAAAAATTAAAAATCGAAAGTGTCTCTTTTGAGAAAACTCACTTTTTGAGTTTAATTTCAACTTTTTTGTTACTTCTCTTATAGGTACGTTATTTTTTAGCAGATATTTGAAAAATTTAAAAAAAAATGTCCCAAAAACACACTTCCATCGTTGACGTTAAATTTCAAAAAATCATAACTTTCTTCATTTTTATCAAATAAAAAAATAAAAAAATACGTATATCCTTATTTTTCATATAGATTTCGAAAAAAATGTTTCGGGAAAAAAAAATTTTCAATGAAAATCTTCCGTGAAATGCCCCATATACAATTATGTTATAATAATCTTATTGCATAATTAATAATCATTAATTATCACTGAAAACAAAATTTATTTCATTCAAATAATCAGTTACTTGACTATTGTCAAATAAATATTTATTTCTATTAAATAATTTTGACCCATCACGAAGAAAGGGACCTTAGAAGCAAAAAATTATAGGTTATGTTTTGAAATTTAGTAGTGAAAATACACAAAAAAGTTTAATTCTTAATGCAAACCAATGATGGTTAAATCTTTATTATATCTAAAATAATCAATAAAAACTGATTTTTATATCACAGAAACGAAAAAAAATGTAATCAAGGTGAAACTGTCGTAAACATAACCTACAATCCGTTTGCTTCTAACATCCCAATCTTTCCGACGCGTCACAATTATTATTTGAGTCAAGTATTTGTTTCAAATACATTAATTATTGGTCCAAATAAAATTTATATATATATATAATTCAACCAAAAATTATTTGGTTCAAGTAAATATTTATTTGATATTATAAAAATAACTGATTAGTTGTATAAAATAAATTTTTCTTAGTCTAATGATACTGACTAATGATTTAATTATTCGATCTTAATTTTTAAATTAAATAATCAATTTATTATTTGAAACAATAGTCCAATTAATGTCACTTTCTATGTTTATATGATACAACAAAAAAAAATTCATTTTTTTTCTCAACACAACAAAGATTGACCTCCTGCTATATATATGTCTAATTATCAAGTTTTCTCTCACAATTTGAATATGAAACAAATGAATAATTTATTAGGTTTCTTATAGATATACTCGCGAATAAAGCGCTATTTATATACATTGGGTTTAAAATATTCGAGTCAAAAATTTCGCTCAAATATTTTTAAGACCTTTCCTCACGTTTTTCACATCATTTATATATATAGCTAAAGCACAGAGTCTTGCCTCTCGTCTTATCACCTTTAAGCTTGTGAAATGTTTCTTTAAAGAAACGTGTGTTAAACTGGAATGGAAAATGGTTACGACTATAGAAAGAGAGAGACTATAGTATGTATAATAACTAAGGAAAGAGCCTTACCCCTAGAAAACTACGCCTTAACGGTAACGTTTTCTCTATCCCAGTACACAATTTTTTCATTAGCACATATGGTTATCGCACAGACACACGAGATATGCTGATGATAATAACACTGACCCCTTGCAAAAAAGGAATTCTCAAACGCGGAAATTATTTTATCAAATTCCATTTTCTATTCAGTTGATTAATCAGTTGAGCGTAAATTATCGAATAACTGTTCTAAACTATAAGACATTTTTTTTTTTTTTTTTTTGCAAAAACTTGTTTTTAATTAAAAAAATAATATCTGAAAATTCAATCATTATAAATCAAAATTCCAAAACAAGAATTCTATTGATAATTAGACTAAATAAAAAATCAATCATTAAATGAAAATTCGGTTCAGTAAAATTTCAAATTATAAAATTCAGTTAAATAGAAATTCGCAACAGCTATAGTAATTTTATATTTTCATAATTAATTTTTAATTAAAAAATGTGCTATAGTTTTTTTTGGTATCAATTTACAATAATGACTTTTCTAGGAAATAAGAAAGAAAACCTTTGTCTTTTAATTCTTCCTGTTGATAAAAACAATCGAACAAGATAATTAAAGACCAATTGTCTCAATCAATATTATGAGTCAATGTTTTATATATCCATGATATACAATACTTTTAATCAGAGCAATTTTATATCTGCTATCAATTCCAAAAATCGATAATATATATTTTTTTTCATCACTTAATAATTTTTCTTGTGAGTATAATTATATTATTTTTCATCTGAATTTATAATTCGTAAATTATTCACCCCGCGTGAATATATTTACCCTTCATTATATTATTGAAAGGTTACCTGTATAATTCAAATGCAAATATTCCCAGTAAACAAATAACTTGACTATTAATTTTTAAATTTGACTATTGTTTGGCAATAAGTGAAAGTGACTTTTTGCATTAATAATTATTATTCATATTTTATATCTCTAGGAATGTGAAAATGAGAAAAAAAAATAACAGAAATAGTGACGACGAGGTTTTCGCGTATAGGGCGCGACTATATATATATATATATACACTTCGAATGGCATTTAAATCAACTCGATGAACAGGCAGGAATGTTGTCCTGCTTCTCAGTAATAACGGTAAGTTCAATCCTTGTATCCTGCGTTATGTATACCCCACCCAAAGCACCTGTGGTTGCAGCACAATTTTGTGGTACTGTTATATTCATTCACAACTGAATTCCTCCCGTGTGTGTTTCGATTATAGAGATGTTTGAAAATATATCTACATTTCAAATTTAAATCAATGATAAATTAGATACCAATATAATTACCATAACAAACCAATTTGTCTCGAGTGATATATGTTAGAAAAAAAAAACATAAATAAACAAAAAAAAATTTAATTTCACGTATCGATGATACGTATCACTAAAAGTCTTTAATTTTCTTAAAATTTGAGACTTGATTGAAAAAAAAAATTCCATTGTCTCTATTAAATTCAATATGCGACAATAAGAATCAAAAGAGATAATTTTTCTTATAGAGATATATAAAGACGCATTCTCACATTTCACATGCCATCATCTACTCCTTTTTCATGATCGATTCAAAGTAAAGCAATGACAAATGAAAGCAACGACATTTATCGTATATATTTATCAAGTTGTTTTCAAACTTATCTCATTAGTCACTGAAGAAGTGCATCGATTCCTTCAGTATAAAATTTATTAAAAAAAAAAAAAAAAAAAAATTTCCCAGACTGTCAAATGACTCCTAAAATATACGAAACTTCAATAAATCGCTTCATAAATTAACCAAACTCTTTATATATCAAGTCCGATACTTTTGATGAATAATAAATCGATAGACCCCCGGGAAGTGAATTCTCCTGCGTGAATATTTTATACATATATATATATATATATATATACGAAATTGTTCATTTCATATATAAAAAAATATAAGAAACTATAAACTTTATACATAAAAAAAACTGAGCAGTAAGTATATAAAAAAAAAGTCCAAAATACTAAAAAGAAGAGAACACTAAGAAAAGAAATAAAACAAAGTTATGAAAAAAAATTCAGAATGAGATCTGAATAAAAATAGCCAAATTAAAATATTAAAAAAATCAATGAAAAACAAAACAATTCGTCAAAGAACTAGCATTTCCAATCATATTTGATAATTTTTAAAAAAATCCCTCTAATCTTTCAAATTAAAATTCAAAGGTAAAAATCTATATAAAAAAAAAAAAGTTCGAAATTACAAATACTTGAAAAAAAAGTTTCAAAGGGAGCTTGACTTTTTTATTCATTAATCGCAACGGTTTACTTTAAAACCGAAACCGAGATTATTTTTTCAGGAATGTTGCTTTTACAAAAATATTGGCCTCCATTTTAAAAATACCAGTAATTCCCCTAAGCGAAAAATAAACCAGTGAAACAGCGAATAATAAAAAGTGTAAAAGGTCAGTCTGACAAAAAGTGTTGGTCCACTTCGTGTATATGCGCGTATAAATTAAAAGCATGTGCTCTTACGGACAGACAAAATAACATCAAAAGATACGTGGAGGCAAGCAGAAAAAAAAACAAAAGAAAAGCAAAAATAAAATAACTGAAAAATCAGAAAAAACATCAAGTATAGAGAAAGGGATGCTAGAATATCAAGAGCGAATATATATATATATGAAAGCAAAAGGTGTGGTAAGGGCAAAAGGGTAACCCCGCGATGTAGGGATGTAAAGTCCTGTATTTAAAGAATGAAATTACTCGATGCTTTATACCAGGTCTCTGGTTTATCGCATTTTTTTCAATTTCAAAGGAGAAAAGAAGAGTCACGAGTTCCATTGTTCAATTGGTATATATATATGTATACCTGTGAATTGCGTAAAAGTAAACACAACCATACATAAAAGCGTAAATACATTTAAATGGTAAGAAAAATTCGACTCTCACTATGACAAGAATAATTTTTATACTTTCCCATTTGTCATCAAACTGAGAATATCCTGTTTAACAATAATAATAATAATAATTCCCCTTCTCGGAAATATAGTTTCTCATTTTGCTGAATTACTTGCTTTATTTAAGGTTTAAACTATGTATTTAAGATCGCATTAAAGTCATTTCGACAAATATTACATTATTTTAAAAGTATTTTGTCACAATTATCTGTATATACAAAAAACAATGTACTTCTTAGAATGACAACTAAAATAATATTAAAATGACTTTTTATAACGTTAACCAATTATTACAAATAAAGAATTTTTTTTGCCATTTATTATTATACGACCCATAGAATTATAATAAGATTTGAGATTTTCAAATGATTCCTAAAATTGATATTTCGAATTGCAAAATAATAAAAAATAAGGCCGAATTTTTATTTAGCCAAATTTTATTTAACAGAATTTTTTAATTTTTTTAGATATAAAATAATAGATAAAATAATATCAGACTTTTTTTATACGAATTTAAATCCAAATTCTTTACTCAACAGTATTTTTGCGCAACATAATTTTAATTTAGCAGAATTTTTCATATAAAGAATTTTAATTACACTAAATAAAGAACAAAATAAGGATGAAATATAAATCACATTGTTAATGATGGAATCATTTTGTAATGTAAATTTATTCATCGATGTTTAGAAATCCTGTTATTTTTTTTTTGCAAATAGTAAGAACAAAAAAAAATACCGGAACTAGACATATGAATGTTACGACTGATCATAAAAGTCTTCGACCTGCCATGCAAACGTCTTGCGTACAGATCATAACAGTCTTCATATATATACAAGAAAAAGCCAAATGAAATGAACGTCTAGGCTGAATAGTTAATAATGCAACCTTTCAAAGTAACCGTGTGGTATCTACAACTTTCTAATCTCCATTATAGAAAAAAAAAAATTCCTCGGCACGGGACACTTAACCTTTTACTTGGCACTCCAATGCACAAAATGCACTCTTAATCGTTTTTCCATTATTACTATTTCTTAATCAAATAATTTTTCACAATACGCATATATGACATGTATGTAAAATATTATAAAATATAAATAATTATAAACATTTAACTGAAGATTAATTTCATATTAATTTTTCTTATTTTTTTAACACATTAATTTATTAATTTTTAACTATTATTATTATTTTTATTATTAGTTATTTATTAATAAAATTTTCAGAATTCGAAAATTTATAAATAATATAAATTCTCTGAATTAATGAAATCTCGTTTACTCACATTTTCTTTTTTATTTAAATATTTATATTTAATTATATATAAACGATATAATTTTTTCAATTAAAAGAATTTGTTACTCGACAAAACTTTCTTCTAAAGAAGCTAATTCAAAATTAATGTTGGATATTCGCCAAAAAATATTAATATAAAAATAATTAATTAAAATAATGGTTTTTTAAAAATTTATGTTACAAATTAAAATATTATTTATTTACACTTGTTAATAACAGTTATGTGATTACACGGAAATTATGTATTTATATAACAAAAAAATACAAAAGATATTAATTAAAATATATATATATATATATATATATATATATATATATATATATATATATTATAATTTATATTAGAAAAAAAAAATTAAAAAAACATGTGCCTTAGAAAAGAATTGCATTAATTCAGAGTTTTAAAAGTTGACTTAGCGAAATATAATATACTTTACACTCGTAATACAGACTTTTTATCTCAATATTCTATTTCACTATAGAAGTAAATAAAACTTAAATAAATAATAATAATAAGTTAATATTAATAATTCATTTATAAATAAATTAATTCATGAATAAATAAATTAATTAATTTAAGAAATAAATTAATTTAAAAAAAGTTTTTGAAAAAACTAATTTCAAAATTAATAAAAAAAATATCAATTTCTCTCACCTTAGGAAATATTTATAAATTCCCTATTCAATCAATATTTAAAGTTCATTCACACACAAAAAATAATGTTCACCAAAAAAATTTGTTTTTAAATCTCAAAATATAATTTTTTTCGAAAAAATAGAAAAACACTATTAAATAGAAATAATTTTCTAAAACAATTTTTTAAAATTTGTTTTTGAAAAAAAAGAAATTCAAAAATTTTCAAATGTCACGCGTGCCGGCTACAGGATTCAAATCAAGAGAGAACGGTATCAACTGTACCGTCCGTTAGGAAGCGCGCGAAGCAACTGAAGCTTCCGAGTTTCCTACCAGCTGGTAAACGGGCCGACTCACACCGTCCTGCACCACTTCCAGTTTCCCAGATACACGCGAGAAAGGTGTTAATAATGTACTTTATGAATGACACAAAACCAGTAGAATTTAAAGGACAAAAAACAAAAAAAAAATTAAAAAGTAATATACACTACCATATTTAAAAAACAAAATTATTTAAAAACATAAAATTTTAACATTTAATATGTTTTTAAAAAATTTGTTTCAATTACAATTTTTTTAAAAAAAGAAACTACTACCACCATCGAACGAAAATTTTTGTTTTGCAAATCAAAATAATAATTCTGCTAAATAAAAATTCGATTAAATAAAAATTTTGCTAAATGAAAATTCGGTTGAAAATAAAATCGTATAAAAATTCTACCTTATAAAATTCAACTAAATAGAATTTCCACATTACAAATGCAATGATGAACTGGTAATTCGGACAAATGGATTTTAGAGAATATTCATGCGTCCCTAATTATATAAATTAATTCCCTTTACAATATTCTATTAAGTGCAAAAAAAAAAACAAAATAGTAGTACATAGTACTCCTAAAATCTAAAATATGGTTTTTTTTTATTATTGTTATTATCATTATTATTGCAAAAAGTCTGATTTAAATATATGACATTTAAGATACAACTGAAATAATAGAAAAAACATAGCATTACAAAATAAACCATAAACAATTATTATTTAAAAATCTGTTTGCAATAAAAATATTTCCTCATCGTAAAAGTCTCTTTCATAATATATATATATTTTCTTTGTAAAGAATTTTCACATGATTTCAATTTATATTAATTCAATGTTCATAAATCAGTAAGAAATTATATTGAGGAATGTTTGCAACTAAATTACTATTTATATAATTTCGAAATATTTTTTTTTTATAATTTTTTTACTCCATTTTCAATTCTCAATATAGAGGAGGAAATGCATATATAATCAACATAACTGCACTTGGCATGATTTCGAGATAAACAAGTTTTTATCTTTGTTCTTTTTGTAACATTGAAAAATCAAATGTATTTTGGTTTGATAAACTTAAATATTTTTTTAATGTGATAAATCTTTCATAATTTATTGTAAACTACATTTTTATTATTGTTAACAACTTTTTTTTTCTTTTTAAATTAATAAATAGATTCTTTTTATTATCCCGTTCATGATGTAAACAAATAAATAAAAATAAATAATTGTTTTATATTGCCTCTACAGAATTTAGTATTTATTTATTGTTTACTGCATTGTTTTTTTTATCTAACATTCCCTCATTAAACAATTATATTTTTAACTTGACTGTCATTCATTGTAAAACTATGTAATAAGTACACAATAAATAAAATAAAATTTAATTTAAAAAAAAAAAAATTGTCTGTCACTTTTGTTTGTTTGCTTTTGTTCATCTAAACAAAATTCATTGTTAAATTATGCAACATGGATAAATTATTAAAATTTTACTATATCCTATTTATAATTTGTATTGTTTTTTTATTTTTTTCAATACACAATACTTCCAAGTTAAAATTGCAAGTTTTTCTTATTTTAAGATTTTGTTTCTATTTATTTGCTTTTACACAATTTAAAAAAAAGTCCAAATCCCGCTAAAAGTCTGTGGATGTATAAAAGCTGATGTGTCTAAATGGACTCCGGCTAAAAGCACAGGAGCATAAGTTTATCTGGATTCTATAAACGTATATTCGAAATCAAAACTAAAATGTAAATGTTTTTTTCCTTTTTTTTAAAAAAAAAAAAAAGAAGTATTAGTCTAAACATTTTTACGGTGACTTTGCAAATTTTTTGCAAATATTATTGAATCAACCATTACTTAAAATTTCATAAAATCGTAAATCGAATATATATGAATACTAAACTAAAACTAATCATATACTGTACATAACTGTTTTAATAAACTTTGTTTTACAAAAAAAAAAAAAAAAAAAAAAAAACTAAACTAAAACTAAATTATTTGTTTGTTTTTTCTTCTTTCAAAATAACACAATAAAATCTATAAGGGAATATTCTCATTTTGAGAGGAAAATCTAAAGATTTATTAGAACTATTAAACAAATTTTTTGACAAAAGAAGCTACTTTAAAAGGAACAAGAGAGGAAATCATGAAAAATCACATTTTTCTCTCAATTTAAGAAGAAATTTTTCTGGTTATTGCAAATACTATTTTCTTCAAATAGTTTGTAATTTAGATACTTCATTTACAAAACTACATGCTTAACATATATGGATAATATATGTTATTTATGTACAAAGTTAGATATATATATATATATATATATATAAACTCTCAACTCACTGCTAACCTATTATTTTATCATATACGATGTTATTATACTGGTCAGATCCAGAAAGATAATGTATAATGATAAAGGAAGTTGTATATTGCGTAAGAATAATTTATACTGAAATAAATCACGTGTGAAAGAAATTCGAAACATTATTGCCATAGATTTTCAAATAGTTTTAGTTTTAACAATATTTTCTTTCATAAAGAGAAAGGGACCTTATATCGTATTATATAGGAAGAACCTAAACATCATTCTTTTTCAATTGACATTTCACAATCGGTACAATCTTCTTTCAATAAGGAGAAAGCTTATTAAACGAACATCCTAAACGTCACTTTTCCTATTGGAAATTCGATGAGATCAATTATTTTACATTTTGGTATTCAATCAGAGGTGATTTATTCAAAACTAAATATTTTTATAATCTAAAAGAAAAATTAACAAAAACTGTAATTAAAAATATTAATTTAATGGAAAGAAAAATCTTAAAAATATTATAAGAAAATTGAATTTCTAATTTTTTAAAATAAAATTATATAAATTTAATTTTCATCTCTAATTTTTAATATTGACATTATCGAAGGCGAGTTACCTTTTAAAAAAAGGTGATTGATTAATGCTTTTATCATTTAATAATTTTTCAACGAATTATAAAATCAAGCAAACGGGTTCTGAATTTCAAAAATAAAATTTTTTGCTTTAAATGCGATTGATCAAATATATCTTTTTAAGACTCGATTTTAAATTAATGTGCAAATTATCTCGAGAATACAAAATGTATTTTTTTATTTGCAAGTGACTTCTTGTTAAAATTTTTTACTACATAACGGAAAGGCGTAATTTTCATATTTTACACTGACCTAGAAAATTTATCTCAACCAAAATATTTTTGTTCATCTTAATTTTTTTTTTATTCTTTTTTTTTTTTTTTTATTTTAATACTAAAGGAAAGGATTACCATAGGGTCGATTATAATTTAATACCTCCTTTTCTGCGCGAGATTTTCACGATCGTAATACGATTAAAGTCAGTAGTCTCAACGTGTTCCACAATCGCGCAGAGCTCGTAAAGGAGGTTTATCTCGAAGAGGAATAATCGAGTCTCTCTGCGGAATGTGGTAAAGGCCGGAATCAAGGTCGAAGAAGAGGCTCTCGACCGGTTACGACAACCAAACCCCCCACAACTTCGTGTATTGTCGATAATGGACTCGCGAAAATAACAGGAAACTTTTTCTTTCTATATATATATATATATATATATATATATATACAGTAATATGTATAAATAATAAGAAGGGTGTACTTTTGTAAGTATGGGAGATAAAAGCACCATACTCAAAACATGTCGCACAATGAAAGCTGTGCGAAGAAGACGCCGGTAATCGAGCTCATTTCTTTTTCTTTCCCCCCTCAAAGTTGTCGACTTTCAGTCATAATAATTTATTATACAAGGCGCGATGGACCGAAAATCATTTATTCTCAATATGATATCGCAATTTTTTTTCTGTCCAAATTCTCTTCCAAAAAAAATATTAATCATTTTCACGAAAAAATTGGACAAATAAAAATAGGAAATAAAAATTTTATACAGATAATAAAGAATAGAAAAAGAAAATGATTTATTGTAAACAAAATTGAACTAAAATCTTTTATTCTCTTTTTTATATTCATGATTAATTTAAATAGAAAAATTTAAATTTCATAAAGTTTAATAAAAAAAAAAAAGTAAATGAAAATCAAATTATTAATTAAAAAAATCATTCATCTGAATTAGATTAAAGAAATTATTGGGGGAAACTTTATATATAAAAAGATTTTTCTACTGAAGGATACTTGTTTGGAATGAAAAACATTTCACTTTTTTTTATACTTTCTTCTCTCAGTTTATACTAACACGAGAGCTCATCGATCACCTTTAAATCCGAGTTTTCATCTGGTATATACTCTCAAAAGTACCTAACTACCAGTGCAGTCTGTTATATACCTTGTGCCTAGCTTATATATATAGAAGGTTTTATTATCGCCTTCATACACAATATCCGGATTTACGAACCAACCATTCGTTCATTTTTCAACCCTTGTTTTTACGTTCACAATCAAATATGACTTATTTTCCGTATCAGAAGGTTAACGGAAAAAAAAGAATGAATCGAGTAAATATATATTTATCAATATATATTTACTGGGAAAAACTGAAGATTTCGTTGTAAAGAATTTTTTTCGAAGTTATTGACTGACAAAAAATAAAATTGAATTAATGAAATTCAAAAGGCTTACTAAATCTGAATTAGTAAAAATGTTTACTAATTTGAATTAGTAACTCACTTTTTGCTTCTGAATTAGTAAAATTTAACTAATTCAGAAGCAAAAAGTCAGTCACTAATTCAAATTAGTAAACATTTTCACTACTTCAGATTTAGAGAGTATATTAAAAGGAAATATTTTTATTCACGTATCGAAAATTTAAAAAAATTTAATATAAATTTATTTTAGTCATTGCGGTAAAAAGTAGATTAATACAATATTAGAATAATAAGAAAAAAATATTTTGAGAAATAAAAAACCATATTTGAAAAAAAAACAATTTAAAGTAAAAACATAGTTTTCACAAAAGAAATTAGGAGAAAGGGAACAAGAGTTAGATTTGAA